CCCAACACACGCTTTGCACTTTGTTTATGGCGTCGTTCTGAAAGTCGTGAGCTTCTTTGGTGTTTTGCCTGTCTTATAAAGCCACTTTTAATCTCTTCACACTTAAAAAGGTTTGTTTGAAATCCTTATGTTTGATTTTGTGAGCATTTTACAAAAATTATCGTCGAAAAGCCCGCATGCACACATGTTGCTAAGCTGGGTAAAACGCTCGTATATGTGCCATAATAAGCTTTAAAACTGCGTGTTGAAACTTGCTGTGATTTGCTTACATATCTGTGGTAGCTGAAAGACAATTTTAATAAATACAAGATAAGTTTTCCAAGAAATTCTTACCTGGAAATTAGGAAAATCTAGTTTTTGGCCTCAAAAATTGGGGGTCGACTTATACACGGGATCAACTAATACACGGGTAAATACGGTACTTTCAATTTGAGATTTCATGTCTGTCAAGGTTGCCTTTTTGTAATCATGCTTCGGCAATTGCTCCTCAGTTTCTTTTCGTTCTGTTGCACATTGCTTTTCTCCGTTTTGCCCTTTATTGTTGACCACCGTCCTAAAACGTGACTGTAACACTATCGCTTTACCATGAAGCTGCACTGTCCTTACTGTGAGTGCTGGGGGTTCTGTTATTTCATTGGCTGGTGGCATTTTGAGTTGACATATCCCTCTGAGAAGGCATGACATGTTTATAAATCTTTAAAAGGCGAAAATTTGCACTCGTTTTTCGGGAGAATCCCTCCTCTTTAAATGAATTAATAGGGTATGTAGAATCAACGGTTTTCCTTGAAATTTGGCCAGGACATTCACTGATAGATGCGGAACAAAAACCTGTCGGCGAATTCTTTTATTTCAAATACTTTTCTCGTGGTGGTCTCTAACGCAACATGTTATGCGAATTTTTCGATAGTGCAACTTGACAGATCTATAAAAAGATAACCAATAGAAATGAAAGAAAATGCTGACACACTTTGAGAGATTGATACTTTGTGATTAACACTGCACAGTTATTTTGCATCAATGATCGCATTTGATATTTTAATTTGCCGGAATTTCAGTCGGTCGTTTTGGCATTAACAGCTTCTGCCGCCTGAGGAAAACAGTCGGCAAAAAAGAATGTGATAATATTGAATTCTACATTTTATAACCTTTCTATTGATATATAGTTTGGGGGGTTTCCTTCAAAACAGCGCGTGTACTAATTTTTTTCTGGAGGACACCACGAAGGTTTGAAGTAACCTTAAAGAACACTGCTTTAATATTTGTAGAGTTATGCTCAATTGAGTGTTTTGCTGTTTTAGTGGAACCACCTATAACGTCATCACTTTCCTTACAAAAACGTAAATATCTCTAAAACAAAAATATATATTCCAAAAAGGAAAACGCCATTCTTCTTTACTTCGAAAAGCCTTTCAAATAAGCAGCAATTATTTTTTACTTCATAGGCACTTTAACTTCATGTGTTTCTTGGATCTCTACTTTCTGATTAATTTTGGGATGTTGCCTTTGGTATTGATTGCTGTTTTTAGTGTACACATACAAGTAGTTTTGTTTAATTCCTTGTCTGTTTTATGGAATATTGGAACACGTATGCAATTATGGAATCTTGCAGAGATGAACAAATGAATGTAGGCCAATGTTTATTTCTCTGCAAAGAATGCAGGAATTTATTTCTGTTGGAAGTGTCCTAGCAGCTTATGATGAAAACAGGAAAAAGAAAATGAAATACAAATTTAATATCCTCTGGTTGTAACGCTTGTACCATAAATCCTCAAATTAGCACCCTCTTCGAATAAGCGCCCCTCCTATTGGCCAAAATTTAAAATAAGCGCCCCCCTCCCATTTTGTGGACGAGTAATGAGACAACAAAGGTTGTATAGTTTTTGTCATGTAGTATTAGATTTGGACATTGTTTCAGTTTGTGAACACGTTTAGTGAACAAGTTGAACACGTTAAGTACTAACGGTGCCACGATTGAAACTTTAGGATCAGCTTTTTATGTCAATAAACAGCTTATGTTGGTGTTTACGCACAGATGATATATTAAAAAAAATGATCATGTCAGGCTACGATTTGGGAAAAATTAAATAAGTGCCCCCCTCGATTAAGCNNAGGCCACGATTTGGGAAAAATCAAATAAGCGCCCCCCTCGAATAAGCACCCCTGTCTTCTCCTAAATTTGGAATAAGCACCCCTGGGTGCTAATTCGAAGATTTATGGTATTCATTGCTTGTTCTAGGTTCGTTTTCCTCATAGAATAACCATTTTACGTGGAAACCACGAAAGTCGTCAGATCACTCAAGTGTATGGATTTTACGATGAATGCCTCAGGAAATATGGGAATGCAAATGTTTGGAAATACTTTACAGATTTATTTGACTACCTGCCATTGACTGCTCTAGTTGATTCACAGGTAACACCTAGTTTTTGTTGTTTATGGTGTGAACATTCCCTTTTAAGATTTTGCAACATCTGCTCTTTTGTTACACATCTGGTAGTTCAAATAAATACAGATGTTATTTTATGTAAGCTTCATTCTTGTATAATGTTCATTGTTTTGAAACCTTTTTTCAGTAATCTTAGTTGAATTTTTTAACTTGTAATGTTGCAGATATTTTGTCTTCACGGAGGTTTGTCGCCCTCCATAGACACGCTGGACCACATAAGGGCACTTGATCGTATCCAGGAAGTTCCCCATGAGGTTGGTAGATCTGTTTCTTTATGGCCATCTGTTTCTTAATTTTTTCTAACTTTTTTCTTTCCTTTGTATTACATGTACATTGCAGGGGCAATGTGTACTTGAATGTATACAAATAAAATAATACTGTGGTCCTAGCTTAGTCAATCGAATGTTCAGTAATCAAACAATATTTCAGTTGGGTTCAGCAATCTAACGCAGTCAAACTCTTGAAGCTTGGTTGGGTATGAGTACCTAATGTTCAACTGACTGCGACTATACATGTACACATCAAAGAGCAGTTACAGTGGGTACTTTACTCATCTGGGACTTCTGTGACCTTATAACTTACAGGCAGTTTAATGCGCTGTATTGTTAATGTTATATTCTACCTCTTATCAACTTTTAAATTTCATTGGGAAAAAAATATTGATATTTGTGCATATTGATATTTCTGCATTTATGAAAAGCCCCCTTGGTGAGTGCTAATAAAATTTGTATTGTATTGTATTGTATTGTGTTGTGTTATATTGTATTGTATTGTGTTGTGTTGTGTTGTGTTGTATTGTAGTGTATTGTATTGCATTGTATTTTTGTTTTCTTTCTTGTGCCCTGTGATTTAAAAACATCACACAGTCTTATGATTCATAATGATATCATTCTGCAATGATGAGGGCACCATATCTAGAGACTGATTCTGTGAAGTTTTCAAGCAGCAGTCACATTTGGTTCCTTGTCTTGTACTTTGCAGGGTCCAATGTGCGACTTGTTGTGGAGTGATCCAGATGACAGGGGTGGCTGGGGTATTTCACCACGGGGTGCTGGTTACACCTTTGGACAGGATATATCAGAAACATTCAATCACACAAATGGCCTTACTCTTATTGCAAGAGCTCATCAACTTGTAATGGAGGTCAGAGATGATTTTGTAATATGGCTTGATTTGCAGCACACCAAGTGCTTTTATATTTGCTTATCAGCATACATGTACAGTTCAGGTTTTTATTTTGTGTGTAGTTATTGCTTCAAGATTGTTGGGGGGCACTATTGACTATGTTGAGAACATCAGCTAGTTAATGGTAACATTAAGTTGTTGAATACAAGACAGTACAGGCAATAAGGGGTTAAAATCAGTAAAACAATAGTAACATTAACGGTGTTTGTAATGTGTTTGAAATGTTTTGTTTTCCAGGGTTACAATTGGTGTCATGATAGGAATGTAGTAACAATATTTAGCGCTCCTAACTACTGCTACAGATGTGGAAATCAAGCTGCAATCATGGAGTTAGATGATGCACTTAAATACTCCTTGTAAGTTTCTGCTCAACTGTTGAACATTACATTTTGACCCATGGAATCCAATTCAGTTGTTTCAAGACTGTCCCCTTGCTCTGTCAATTCTGGCAACTCCACAACTACTCAGTTGACTTTTATTCTTACTCTTAATGTTATTTTTATGGCCAGATAACTTCATTTATAGCAAACTGCCAATGAGAAGCAGGTGTTGTTGAGAATTAGTGGTGGCCACTAATAGCCACCTTATTAGTAGCTCTATCAAAACCAGTAGAGTGGTAAAAACGCCATTGAAAATATGAACTCAAAGCAGTTTGATTCTTAGCATGTGATCTGAAAACAGTTGTCAGGAGGTTCACCACTTCATGTTGCAAATGTCTTGTCAGTGATGCTGTAATTTTTAACAGTCAGTGAAGGGCTACTCTTTGGTCATATAAATGTGGTTTTCCTTGATTTGTATGAACAAGGATTCTGCTGTCTTACCCTAGCCATGCAACAGGGACAGGAGACTAATGAGATGAATTTAGCTTTAAAGAAAAGGTTATTTTTACTTCTAGAGGGTTCCATGATGTTTCGCAAGTGAAAGTCATGTAGCTTCGAGTTGGCTTTCCCGGTGAATAAATGGTGTTCATGTAACAAAATGTGTTGATTCACGTGAACAAGACTGACACAGCACCAGATTAAATTTAGTCTAAATTTTATTTACTTTAGTGATTTTCATAGTAATTACCTCATTGGTTTACTAGTGTCACATCCACCAGACCACTAAGCTAGTAAAGATGTTAAAGGATTAAATTTCCCTATTACTTGAACATACCTGCCCAGACAAGTATATAATGTAGTTGATAACAGTTGTTTTGACACCATTGGTAACTTAATTTTTCTTTGCAGCTTACAATTCGACCCAGCACCAAGACGAGGAGAGCCACATGTTACTCGCAGAACACCCGACTACTTTTTGTGATGAGCAGCTCTCTTGTGCTTGTTAAACCTTAGCAGTGTTAACTACATGTTATCTTTGTTCATTACTGTATGCCTTCCTTTGCTATGATGTGCAAGTTATTCTAAATTATGTGCATTAATACCCATCTTCCTACATTGTATATTGTAACCAAGTGAGAAGAATGTTTGCATAAGATTTGTGACTCTACATGAGTTAGGGTCCCATCAAAACCTATTTTTGAGTTTGAAAGGTTATTTCTTAACTGGAACATTCTTTTATCAGAATCATGGTTTTCTTAAGACAATAAAATGCTTAATGGAGCCATCAACTTTGCAAACAAACATTGCCACTGAGAGATATGGTCACAGCATAAACAGAATATTAAATTATATCAGTACATCAATGTAAATGCATATTAAGGAAATAATGCTCACTTGAGTAAAATAAGACTGCATCATGGCAATCATTCATTTGACACAACTGAAGTAACTTGACCTGTGATCAGGTTCAACTTTCTGTGCTCTTGTTTTTCTTTTATGTGGCTTCTAGTTTTAGTTTTGACTTCTGGGTTACTTAGTGCAGTGACATTATAGCCCGACCCCAGGCTAACACCAGCGTTTTTAATCTTAAGAAGTATAATAAGTAGTTCTTCAGGATTTAAAAAGACTGACTGTGAATTGTAGAGTACAAGTCACAGTGGTTCAGGCTTTGATTTAAATCTGAAGATAGTGAGACTACAATGTCAATGAAGTTTAGAGTAGATCTTAGTGGTGTATTTTATCTCAGATCATTAAAAGACTGAACTGGATGTCTTTATGGCTTTATTTCAGAATTTGTCTAAGAGCTGTCCAGTACACCCTATTCATAATCCTTGATTCCTTTACTGCTTGTTTTGCTTTGTTTCCTTTGCACATGTTATTCAGTCGAGTTCAGTTCTAATCTTTTTTACGTTATGTGAGCTGAATAAATTGAAAATCCCTGTGTCAAAATTATAGAGGAAAAGGAAAACTTCATTCAGGAATAAAGTATCGCTAAATTTCAGTTTAACTAAGCAAAAAACTACATGTATGTGTTCGTGTGGTTATGCTTGTGTTGTGGGCGTCCTTATTTGGTTATGCTTGAGCTTGTGCTTGTCCTCGTGTGGTAGTGAAAACCGGGCTTGATTTTTCCTTAAAGGGAAATTTGTCAGTAGGTCTGTGATCAAATGGTTTTAGTTAGATCAACCAGCAGTTTTTTCAGGTAAAGGAACCTGCATTGAATTAAGCCCAATGAAATTACGTGTCTTCAGAGCAACCTTTTCCTCGTGCCTAGGCCCCGCCGGCTATGAGTGACAGGTGGCTCTTGGAGAGAATGTCACATCGAACTGTGCTTTGGTGCGAAACACTTTCTTTTGGTGCCTTGTAATTTGTTCAGACTAGTTCTTTGTAAATCGATTGGTAAATTATATATGCCATATGGTCGTAAGCTGACGCAGTTAAGTGAACACCATCGCCGCACAACATTTGGTCTCGAGATAGAGGCATTTTCTTATCAAGGTCAGCAAGAAGCACTTTTCCCCCTGAATGCTTGACGAAATAACGGATCATTTCATTCACTTTCAACCTCACTTCCATGATAACACTGATTCTGCGTTTTCTGTTCACTTCACACTGTAAGGCGGGAATTGTCATGGCAACGGTTCTCGCTCCCGTTTCGTGAGCAGCCCGGTGAAGTTGAACAATGGCATTAAATATTGAATGCTCGTCTTTGACTTTGTTGTTCTCTGCCCATATACTCCTCATCCCAAACAAATCATTCGTCCCTCCTAAAATAATAACCCAGTGGTATTTAGTTGTTCCCTGAAAGATTCTTTGCAGTCGGGGTAGCATTTCTTGCTGTACTTTCTCTCCAGACCGCCCTGCGTTGAAAAGTTCAACATGGTGCAACACTGAATGACTCCTTGGTCGTTTTTGTTCGTTCAAGTTGAAATATTCTTGTAACTTTGACGTGTAAGGATGCGGCCATCCGTTCGTCATTCCAAAAGTCAGAGAATCGCCGAAGCATAAAATTCTTACGATTCGTCCGCTTTGTATGGCGCGGCTTGAAACGAATACATATACGGTCAGTGGTGAAAGCAGAAGCACGCTCAGTACCAGTGAAATACATTTACGTTTTATGAAAACAAACATCTTCGAATCCTCGAGGAGTGCAATGTACATGTGGCCCCAGGTTTAGAATAAAACTGAAGTGTTCCTCCGTTTCTCAGATTGCATTATCTTTTGTCAGTTCTTCCAGATAACTTGATGTTTGAGACTTGCCACAACTGATACAATGTACTGGTTGGATCTTTTGTCAGTTCTACATGTCTTTGATTATAAACAAAGGAAAGCGATTTCCAAAATAATCCTAGTTAGGCTTCTTATTGAGATTTCCACCTTGTTATCTCATCATGTTAAGCGGACAATGTATTACAAGTTGAAGTTGGACAATGTCATGATACATGTGAAAAAGGTTAAATAGTCGTTCTGTTTTACTGCAAATCCGTCTCGAGACCGCCAAAAGTTTTTTGATTGCGGTTTTCGAATTCTCAGCAGTACCTGCTTTTAAACAACTGGTTTCATGTAAAAGTATTTTTTATTTACTTGGTACCCAGAATCGTTAACTCATCTTTTGGCCGCCAGTCAGCCGGTGATCTGTCCGCGCGAACGCACTCCCTAATCAACTATTACTCCTAGTCTACTCTTATCATTATTCTGTTACTTTAGTTCGGGACTCTTCCCAGACTCTAATTCAATGTTTGCAGCATTTGACAGGGTAAGCCATTTGTAATTGTCTTGACCGTAACATTGCACCAGAATCCGTTTCAAATTAGAATCAGTATAGGGGTCAGCTAGGCCTTGTTCGTTCTGTCTTACACTGAGAGGATCATAGGAACGAGTTTGAGAGTTAGACTCGTTCGGCTTTCAGACTATTCTGTTCCCAGTACTGGATGTCTCTTTTAGCTGGTAAGGTTTAATCCCCAAAAGCTGGCTCTGGAAACATACGACTTGCTTGGCTAGATTCTTGATATTCTCCAGTTCAACACTGGTTTCATTCCTGAAAATGACCACCGTAGGACTTTTATACTTTTACTAGTTCCTGAAGTTCTGAAGTGTTGTAGATATATGCCTTGCGCCTCCGTTTCAAAACAAGTTCCCGTGCAAACCTTTCGTGTGAAGATGAGTTTGTTTCGCATGAAATGAACCTACAAAGGGAACTCATTTTCACAGGAATGTTTGCGCTCGGAGGCAAAAGTCTCGGAGATGGTCTAATTTAGAGTTCATAAGAGCGTAGACCCTCCACTTTGGGCTGACACCTTGTTGTGGTGGTGGAGCTTGTGTATCTCAATGACCCAGAGAGCTGTGCCGGCGGGGACTTTGGTCCCTGGCAGGTCTAACCATGCCGGATTGGTCGAAGGGTATAGGCCAGACGAAGAACAGCCCCTGGTCCTCCAGGTTGGGGGTTAGGCGGCGGGCCGATAACCCGCTCCCGGAAAAAGAAACATATTACAGAAACCGAAACTAGAATTACCACTGCGCCCTATCGGGAAGCAGGGGTACAAGATGT